CAGTCACCATGCTAATAATTTGCACTCCTGCATAGTTTTGCCCATCTAAGAATCCGAAAGTGCTTTGCAAACATTGACTTAATCCTTGCAATGTCCCTATGTGGAAAAATGTCTCAGTTTTACAGACAGGGAACCTGAAGAATAAAAGAGTGGTTTGACTTTGCTCATGAGTCTGCGGGGTGCCAGTGGCACAGCCTAAATCTCTCAATTCCACTTCAGCTGCAGGTCCTGGAACAGTCTGGCCCCTGCAAGCTCTGACAGTGGTTATTATGCAGCTTTCCAAAGGGATATGTGAGTGGCAAGAAGATTGTTGCTACTGGCATTGTCCTAGCAGCCCTTCCCTGCCAGGAAATGCACACAGAACATCGTCACCATCCTGTTTAACCAGGCTGAGGAGCACCCAAGTCTGAGCACTCGAAGTAGGCTTGTCTCAGTGTGACCATGGCAGGAGCTGTGTAACCACGTCCTCCCCAGTTCTGCCCTTGCCTCTGTGCGTGCCTGACGGGTGCTGTAACTCTGTGTGCCAAGGTGCTTAGGGCTCTTTCCCACAGCTGCTGGTTTGCCCTTCAGGGGAAACTGTGGGAAAGAGACTGAAAGATTGTTGGCACTTAAGTGATCTTTGACCATATCTTCATGAGGGAGTGAGGAGGTTTGAAACAGCCACGGTTGGAAAGGGAAGAAGGGGGAGTGGAAGGAGGGGGCGGGAGGGGAAGAAAGGAAAAGTGGCCCGACCTTTCTCTCTCAGCTGTGCAAGCCTGCGCTGATGGTTTGCATTTGCTAACTCACAGTACTGAATTTTATATGGAGAGAGCAAGGAGCAATGACAGAAACTAACTTCAGCAAGGCAGTGGGCACCCTCTCCTGGAAAGAGCCCCTGCCATGGCCAGCTTCCAACAGCTTGTCCTTTGTGATTTTGATACCTGGCAGGGTCGCTTGGAAATGCAGCAAAATTATGCTCCATATCAGCAACAGAGCTTGGAGGGGAACTGAGACTTCCTTCCTTGACAGATCCATGAGATCAAGCGCTCTGATCATAAAGCGAAGCGCAAATGCAAGAATAAATAAACCTTTCTTAATCCAATCAACCTGGTTATTCTTGAATCCCGTAAAATAACTGCCAGTGGTTGCTTGAGGAGTTGCTATAAACATGACTTATAAGGAGGGGACATCCAAACTTTGTGCAACCTAGTGATTGCATTGGCAATTTTCCAGGATCCCCACGGGCTGCTGCTAATTGGCATCAAATTAAGCAGGTTGCAGCCACCCTCATCTTTAATACAAAGAGAAGGCCCCCGGGAGGCTACAGGTTCCAGCGTGTGGCCTTCTCACATCAAGAAGGAGCACAGCACACTGGGATGTCGAGTCTCCTCAGGCCCTTTCCCCTTGTTGACAGATCTGGGGAAGCTGCAGGCCACACTGGACACCTTTACAATGGCTTGATCACCCTCTCTTTCTTAGAAAAAGAGAAAAAAAAATCAAGTATGGCTTTGGTTAAGTTCATGTTAATCAGCATTCATGAGACTTAACAAAAAAACAACAAACATAATTTCCTCCCTCTCTCCTCCACCCAGAAGCAGACTACTGGTAGAAACTGAAGCTGGAAAAAATAGTTGAAAGTCAGCTAAAGTCACCTTGGTAACTGCAGCAATACACTTGCCCAGAACAGGAGACATCAAACCCAACTACAAACAGCTTTAAAGAAACAAAAAGAATGTAATCATCTAAAGAATTAATCTGACAACTGCCCACGTTTACACCTCCCACAAGCTCCCAATCAGAGGGAAATGCGCTTTAATCTCCTCCAACTCCCCTCCAGTTTCACAAAACACTAGATGTGCAGTCTTTAAACTGGGGCATTTCCGGCATGCTGCTTCCATTTAAATCTGCTGCCTTTCCTAATGCAGCAGCCCTGGCTTTTGCAGAGTTGTTTTTTCTGGACACTGAGAAACATGAATTTTTTTGTGGGGGTTGGACTAAGTATTAAATCTGGCATAGACAAAGTTTGCAACATTTTTTGTGATAGTCAGCTAGATCTTAGTCATAACAAGTAAAACTCCACTGACTCTTGCTGCTGATTTATTTGGTGATGGGGTGGAGGAAGCAAAGACTTACAGTTAACTGACAGTCGTAAAACCAGGGATGTTAGTGTTAGAAAGCAAAGTTTTTCTACTTTTTTTTTCTGAGTCTGAAAACTACAAGCTGTGGATGTCAATGTGTGTTACTATATGATCTTTTTATTAATAGCAACTGAGAGGTCCTGCTGACCCTTCATCTGGGTGATCACCTTTTGGGAGGGTCAGCACGAGGATTTCCAATCCCAAAGAGAGAATTTTAATGGGTCTTTCTTAGTCACTGTGATGGAACCGTAACCTCCTGATGTGTTATGTGCATTCCACTATATACAATTCTTGTTTAGAAAGGTCTACCTTAGACAGAAGGTTATTTGGTTTCTGCTCTTGGAGTTTCACCCTTAATTTTAAATACCTGAAATGGTGTGAGCTCCTCTGAAGAGAAACAAGAGACACAGAGTATGAGTGTTTTGGAAAGGATTAATCCTTTCATGTCATTCACAGTATTAACTACCATTTTGCTTCACCTTTTTTGACAGAAGGGCTGGTTACTTATTAATGTGAAGTCATAATTATTGACAGCCGTAAAGTCATGACAGTTCCATTTGATAGTTATACATTAGTCAACATCTTCTCTTGAGCATGTAATGACAAACAGCATTTGTTGGTTTTAATAAGACTCAGAAAGCTTTGCCCCCTGCCTCCAGAATTACTGCCATCATTCCTATTATTGCATTAACAACTGGAGGCTGTTTCCCCTCCGGACTGCAGCCCCATTGTGCTTGCAGCTGGCTAGCATGGTGGAAACCTAAAAACCTGCCTTTAGCTGGGAGAGATTTGGAGCCCAGGGTTGTGGGGAGCTGTCCTGCTGAAGCACAAATCTTACACCATGGATTGCCTGTGAGGCTGTTCTGGGCAGTCCAGGTGAGCAGGGCACAGTCTCTTGTCTGTAGCAGTAACATTGCTGTAAAACTCCTGATCCACTCCACAGTGCCTAAACTGTGGAACTGCATTTAGGAATGCAAGTTTATGGCTTGCTTGAAAATCATGCGTTGCTAATGGCTGACCCTTTTGGTAGGGGCTGATAAATGAATGATTGGAAGCTGTAGACCACAGGCTGACTTTCCCACAGCTCACTGTGTATATAAGATCTGATAAGGAAGTTGAGACAAAGCTTAGCTTAAGGTCAACTGATCATTAATCAACTGTAACTGCACTTCTCAGGTAATCAGCCTGAAAAATGCTGGCCTGCTCCACTCTTTGAAGACCCCACCTAGAAGGAGCTATAAAATGTTTGCTGAAGTAGATTAAACACCACTTTAAGTGCCACACATAGACTACAAAGCATGTTGTGTCTTTGCTTCAGGGTTAACCCACTAAACTGACACTCTGCTCACTGTCAGTCCATCAGCCCACCCTATGCATAAGCTGTATCCTGATGTACCGTGTCCCTACTGGATACATTGCTACTTTTGTATGTTGCTAAAGATGAAAATGGGACATATTTTACAGTTTTTATCTTGCAGAGAGCTGAGCTGCTCTGGTATCTTTTTTTCTGTATGTCTCTGACCTGGCCATGCAGTGTATTTGCAGGTTGGACCATGAGATATCAGAGTTTAGCTGTTTCAGAGTGGGCAGCTCAGCAGCATGGGTGAAGGGCTCACGTGGGACTAGGCGACCTGGCAGAAGCAACAGGCTGATCTGCGCTGGAATTCACACTGAACTGCACTACTATATGTGTGGCTGGTGGGAGTAATTTTGGGACAGCTCTCAAAGGTAAAATCAAGTGAAGGTGTCATCTAGGTCAGCTCATGAGGGTGAAGCTGATTCTTTACAATCATTTCCAGATGTACACTAAAGACAGTTCAGCTTGGATGGAAGAAGGATTCAGGCTTGTTTTAACAGTGCTCTCAAGTGGAGCCACAGCTTGCTAGCCTTGTTTGGCTTTGGTCCTTGTGGCACAGTGGAGGTACGCTGCAATGTGGAATCTCAGTGCCCTCCTGCTTTCCCTGTCCCTCTCCTCTGGCGATTCTGTACTGTAGAAACTATCTTAACAAAGTCTTACCTCTATTAAATTCTTGTGGAATGCCAGGTGGCAAGAATATAAATCACTTATCAGACACTTCTCATCAATCCATGTCATCCATTAAAGTCATAACCCATCCTGTCCTTTATTCTTTGTTCCAGACTGTCAAGTAAGAGATCATGCTGGTGCTCTTTGAACATATAAAGTCTTTATGGTCAAGTATTTTGAAATAGATTGTTTTATTATCTAGAGGATTTGGTCTGGCAAAGTTCCTAATCATGTAACAACATAACCGTGTTGTAGCTTCAGAATATGCTGGTCTTGCAGAAATGAAAGAATAAGAAAGCAAAGTTGCCATTGTCCTAAAGCAGCCCGACTTACAAGGGAGAAGAATCTGTGAATCTCCTACTTGTCACATGGGGAGAGTCTGTCTTTTGGCTGTTGCACTTGGTGCTGGTGGAACCAGGAGATTCTCAAAGCCTTTTGGTTGAACTGTGCAAAAAAACGCACAAAGGACTGGACTAGTCATTCCTGCAGGCCACTACCTGAAAAATCGTGAAGATAATCAAAAGCAGGAGGAAGGACACACCTGGTAATTAATCCAAACCATAGTGTTTGGAGACTTCAGCTTTGCTGCAGTTCTTTCCAGAATTTTTTTTTTTTAATACTGGGAAGGGATGCACCATGTATATACATCAATTCAGATCCTAGGTTGTCAAATCAAGGTGAAGAGCTGCATGCTAGGACTGGTAGCCTGAGTGAGGCTGTGTCTCTGCAGAGAGTGGTGAAAACTCAGATGTGTCTTTGTCTTCGTAACAGTTTTTTCCCATATCCTTCCATATTTGCAATCAAAATAGCACACAGTACTGGAATCCTGAATATGTGCATTTTGTCTGTTCTCTTAGAAGCCGTAAGGACAGTTTGGAAAGCGAGAGCTCAGCAGCCATCATTCCTCATGAGCTGATCCGCACGAGGCAGCTGGAGAGCGTGCACCTGAAATTTAACCAGGAGTCCGGAGCGCTCATCCCCCTCTGTCTAAGGTGAGTGAAGCCATCCTCCTCCACAGCCTGTGCTAACATGCTTCTTTTGCCTTGTGGCATTGTTTCACCATACAGACATGCATGCAATGGGTCTGTAAAGGCCAGAGCTTAGATATTTTGCCAAAACACATTAAAAACAGATGATTCTTTGCATGATTCTGTGCTCATCGTGTTAAGATTGTTTCTCATTCTTTTTACGTCCTCCAGTGTCTTTTGAGTGCTGAAGCAGGACAGGGTTAGTATAGGGGTTTTTTTATTAGTCTAATGCAACCCTGTGATAAAGAAGGGATGTCTCAACATACTCTGTCAAAGAAATCCCTTAAGTTATTCATTCTGACTTCTGGACTCAGATAAGTGGTTGTGCAAAACCTGTTTGCAATCAGTTTATGCATACAAGTGTGGGTTTTAGACAAATTATGTCACATGACTGAAGGAGCAACACATTGTGTGCATGCTATACACATTTTCTTTTGAAGGTTCAGTCTGTGCATATCACTGGCTTCTAGTTTTCCATAATTTCAGCCAGCATTATTTTTAAAAATCCCTGTGCAAATGTTCTAGTATCTTAAGATAAAAATGAACTGTCATGTCAAGACAAATGATTGTAGGTGATTGTGTTACTTTAGCTTAATGAGTTACATGTTGGTAGTATCAGAGTTATCAGCAGCAGGTGCACACTTGCCTGGGCCTGTTGAGAAACCAATGGGAAAGTTAATGCAAACATATTTTATTTTACATCACAAATGTGTGAACAGTCTGTCCTGATCAGTTAGCTCATCTGACCAGCAGTAACTCACCAAGCAACTGTGACTCTGTGATTACTAGGTACTGTCACAGCAATGAGCCTTCTTAGAAATGCATCTTCACAGTCCCACGCAATGTGGAGTCTGGATTCTCTTCTGTAGTTTCCACCTTGGTGGAAAACTGGCAGTCCCCTGCCTTTACATACATCAGCACCTCATCATGGGAATAGGCATGAAGTGGGATTTAGATGTGTTCTAGCTCTGTAACAAGGTCCTGAGATTAAGGAGGAAGATGAAGGGTAGCTCCCTTCCTCAGAAAGAGTCTTATCACCTGCTTTTTGAAGCAAATCTTTCCTATATTCCTGAAAAATAAATATTTGCTGCCTTCAAAGTAGTTTCCCCTGCTGATGGCAGAAACAATAGTGATGTATCTCGTGGTGTTGAATGCTGTGCACCCCCTCTCAACTCATGCACATGTGTTTAATTCCCAGGGGAAGGCTCTTACATGGACGGCACTTTACATATAAAAGTATTACAGGAGATACAGCAATCACATTTGTATCAACGGGAGTAGAAGGAGCCTTTGCTACAGAAGAGCACCCCTATGCAGCCCATGGACCTTGGTTACAAGTAAGATAGCCTGTCTCCTGATTTTCCCCTTTCCTCCTTTACTGCGACCTAAAAATTATCTTGCTAAGGGCTTATGTTGTTTAAAAGTGTAACAAACCTGTATTTTCTGCTGCAACATCTCTCATTGCTCTTGCACAATATTTTCAGTAATTATGGCCTCAAAAAGTAATGGTGAAATGCTGCTATTTGTGCTATTTGTATTAGTGGAAATCAAAAAGATAATTGACTGGAAAATTCAGACATCATCTATGAATACAGTAATATCCATTTCCTGAAGTCAGTGAACACTTTACAGGCTGTATTTATTCTTGATTTTTTCCAGAAAGGAATTTGGGGAGGCAGAGAGGAATGACCTAACCAAGAATGGAGCCAGGGCAGAAGAGCTAGAAAGCTGTGGGACTGTGATCCTGCAGAGCCAAGATCTCAGTTTGATCATCCCTAACGGGAGAGCAGCACAGAGAGCAATGCCTTTCAGTTTTAGCTCTTTTCTATTGATTCTTTGATAAAATCTTGTGGTTGCTTGAAGCACCCACACATTTTTGCACCCACATATTCTTGGTGTCACAGATTTTCCCTGGAAAATCCCCATCTGCTTGGAGTTGAGGGTCAGCCCTAGAGCAGTGATGCACTAATGATCTGACAGTGTAGTGCTGTTCTGCTCTTGAATTTCTTTATGGTTATAAGCATATTGTGAAAAAAATGTCTTGAGGGAATGTGTTAATGCAGAAAAAAACATTTCTGAGGGACTATGTGTGCAGTATGTCTCTGCCTTCACTATAACTGTGGCATTCCTGCCTCCCCTTCTGTTTTGAAGACAGGGGGTTGTTTCACCATTGCAGTGTTGCAGTTAGCCTTCCAATGCTTGTTTTCAAGGCATTCTGCAGCCTGCATTCATATGTCTGGAGGACATCATACCTTGGATTCTGTATGACTTGTAAAGGGGCTGATCTTGGCCAGAACCGTCTCGTGTAGGGATTTTCAAAGAGCTTTGATTGTTCTGACTGGAAAGTGCGATGCTCCTATAATGATTAACAGCAAAGAGTCAGGTTTAAGGGTGGGTCATTTGCTGTTTGTTCCTGTGCTTGCCAACACATGATACACAGGATCTTGTGACTGTGTTAACTCCAAACATGAGTGTTTGTTTGCATTTGCATCACATCTCGAAATATATTGATGTGTAGAGTAGTCAGGTAACCTCTAAACAGTGAAGAATGGCAATAATTATGTCACCATACAGACATGTTAACCCTTACGAACCTGGCTGTTTTCATGCCTCTTATTTTGGTGCTGAAAAACGTGCAAGATTTTTGGAGTAGGTGGCATGGAAAGGTGAAGAATTGCTGGCTCAGATGGTAGGGAGAAGCAAGTTCCCTTGCTTGTCTCCTACACAAAGCCAATGTATTGGATCTTCTTATCTGCCATAAGCAGCTCTGCTGCTGGCCCCTGCCCTGTCCTGTGTTGAGTACAGGATGAAGGGGGGAGGAAGGGAGGCTAAAAGCAGCCTGGGACAACAGGAGTAGCACCCGGTTGTGAGATGTGGGAGTGTCTGAGACTCTTGGCTTAGTATGCAAGGGAAGACTTGATCCGTGCTCAGCCGTTCCTTGTGGTGTTGGGGGCAGGGGAGGGGGAGGTTTGTGTGGCTTTGCTTCAGAAGTAAAAGAAGTTGTGGTGCATAAAATTTCCAAGGAGAGTTGTGTTTGGTTTAGTCCATTGCAGCCTGGGCTGGCTGAGTTGGCAAGCCCTGCTAAGCTTTCACATCAAGGCCCAGAGAGGATTTTCCTCCTCCGTTGCTTGGGACTCCAGGCACAGCAAGCAGCTCCAAGGAGAATTGGTGGCTGAAAGCACATTACTGCAATGCAGAGGCATGTTGCAAAGACAAGTAAATGGAGGAACTGTGGAGAAGAGGAGACATGGCAGGCTTTTCCTCCTGTGGACTTTTCCCCTATCTTAAGGTAGAAATAAGAGCTTTCAAAACCCCGGCCTCAATTCTGCAGCAGTCGGAGACTGACTTCTCCTGAGCCTGAGCTTTGGTGCAGTGAGAGCCCAAACCTGCAGACTAAACACAGTACCTCCTGTTTACATCTTGTGGGCTGGAGTGGAGCGTGTCCAAGGTGGGACAGGCTGGAGAGCTGCTGTCTATCAGCCCCCGCTGCCCGGGCTGAGCAATGAGCTGAGAGTCACTGGGCTCTGGTGGAGGGTTAGCAGATGACAGGAGTTTGGCAGGTCCCAGCACCATTCCGACCAGACAGGTGTCCATATCATCACCACAGCTGGTACTCAGCAGGAACCGTTTTAGCAGTCTCAGCAGAAAAAGTAAGGAGTCATTAGACCAGAGAGATTGTACGCCCCATTTCTATCAACCGTCTTTCCAGGTCACGTTTGAGGCATGTTAGCAGGGGAAGCCTGTCCTGCTGCTGCCCATGCTCTGGGGATGATTAGATTATTTCATTCTCCAGAGCTGTCAAATTGGCACCTTTCCCAAGTACTTGGAATTTTTTTTTTCCATTTAAGTAACATTTAATTAGTTCTAAGAAGCTAAATTCTATTAAAGGTCTAAGCATGTTAGGCTGGTTTATTTCTGAACTCTTTCCCCTATGTCATGTATTGTTGAATAGGGAAATTGCTTTAACTCAGAAATGTACAAACATATTCAAGAAGTCCACCTTGTTAACACTAGACTCCTGTTTATATGCTAGTTACTGTGGCAAAGTCTCTGATGTGTAACACTTGAATTAACATTACACATGATCAAAGGCTTCCGCGGTTCTTTCTTCCACTCCCCCTTCCTCCAGTGCTGTGACTGCAGAGCCCCCACATTGCCTCCTAAGCACCTCTCCTCTGTTTTCCAAGGGGTAGGTGTTCCAGATGCACAGGGAAAGGCTGTGCAGGAGGTGTCTGGCCCATGCTGGAGGGTTAAGGATGCTGATCATGCAGACAGACTCCAACATAAACTGCCCCACAGTGACATTCGTATTTGTGGTGGAGCGTCCTTGGTCCAACATCTGAGCTGTGCCAAGTGTGCAATTCATCACAGATTGACCTTGTTTGTCTCTAAAACATTCCCAAAGCAAGGTGAGGTTGTGCGTGTGTTCTCTCTCCCTCCCTTACTTTTGTTCCGACGGATGATAGAGATGCTCTGTTGAAATGTGTAACTGATCAAGCCCGTCCCAATAAAGTTGCCTGAGCCTTTAATACATATTAATATTATCCTGGGGTAGTTTGTGTCAAAGCCTGTCAGCATGCATCATCCTTTGGGAATTACCATCATTAAGTCTCCAGTGATGGGAGTCAGGACATGCTTCTGCAAAGCTCCTCTGCTTTTATGTGGAGCTCTCTGCCCGTCTAGCACAAAGCAGGCTGTTCTCCCCTCCTGCCTTGCTCACCTGGACTGCTTACTCTCCCCAGAGGGGAGAAGGAGGTTTGTTTAACTCTACCTTTAGATAATTTCTGCTCCTGCTGCTTTAGGCAGTCATTGTTCTAGGCAAGAAGATGACATTCAAGCCTTTGATCATGTGCAACGTGCATGCTACGCATCAGATACTACTGCAGACTCTGACATACAAGCCAATGCAGTGCAGTAAAAACAAAGCTATAGTTAAAGAGTCCTCGTTAACTGTAAAATCTAGCACAGAGAATGTAAGAAATATTTCTGCACTTTAGCCTTGCCCCTGCTACACATGTGTATTTCAATGCAATATCTAATTGAAGAATCATACATATTTTTAACGGAGTGTGCTTGCCTTATTCACTGCACAGAGATGCAGTATGTTTAGGGGATGAATCAGGAGCATGGAGTAAAGTAGACTCTTTCCTGTAGAATTCCACTTTATTTGTTAAAATTGGAAAGTGTGTAATGAATGAGGCAGACAATTGCAAAAAAATCACAGTAGTCTTATAGTGAAGCCTGTTAAATGCTGCCCTGGTGAATTGGGTCTTGTTCCTGCCTCTACTACTCTTGTTCCAGAGTCTTAAGCTAAAATGTTCTTACCTGGCAAGTGACTTTGTGTTCCTCATTTTCTGGATGCCCAGCTCAAGACCTGAAGTCTGATCTGTGTTCCCAGCAACAAGAGGAGGTCAGGAGGAATTCCCTTGTGAATACCTCTGTGCTACACAGGACTAAGTGGACTGGAAAACAGGGATCTGCAAGACTTGGGATGGGCACTCACAAGAAGTAGACATTCAGATTCAACTTTTTCTTCACTCATTTTCCTGTGTCTGTTCAGAAGAACATTCTTCCGGTCATCCTGTGAAGAATGCAATGAATTCAGTGCTTGCCAGGGATTCTAGCTCCACAAATGAACAGCAGAAACAATTTCAGGAAGAGATTAAAATTTATTCTTGCAGGTCAGGAGAGAGAAAGGATTTCTTTGGGGCAGGGATTCAGCCTGGGAGCTGTGGTCAAAGACTTCAGCTTCCTGCTCTTGCAGGTTTTCTCTGCGACTTATAAGTCTCTACTTCCTTGAGCCTCCATCCCCCATCTGCTGTATGGAGGGGAGCACTTCCCTGCCTTGCAGAAATGTGAGGCCAAGCACGTCAGAGGCTGAGAGAGAGGTGGACAGTAAGATTAGGTACTTCCAGTGTTATCCGTGCTGGCAGTAGTTGGATGGAGCATACTAAATAAAGGGGAAGAGAGTAGGAGAGAATGGGGAAGCAAGTTGAATGATAATGAAAAGAAATGATGACTAATGCTGCATTCAGTGAGCAGAACCATCCTGAGGACTGCACAGGGCAGAGGTCTTCCTGGAGAAAAACTGCAGGTGATCCTGTGATTACAGATTTGTTTCATGAGGCAGACATGTGCTGGCGCCAAATTAGCGCGGCACAGTTTCTGTGCAGCAATTTCCAAAGTTCTGTACGCCCAATGTCACTCATCTCTGAGTGCAGAGGGTATTTTTTCCAGGTAATTTACTTGGGTCTGGGACTAATCCTGTTAGGCAGGTGGAGGCTATGGATCATTGGCACTTGGCACCCCCTGATTCTCAGCACAATGTGAGTGTCTC